CCATCCCTCAACTCCAGAGAGCAGTAACTCACCAACACCTGCCATGTGTTTGTTGTTAACTCACAGACTGCTGTCGACCTGGTTGCTCCAGGAACCAGTCTCCATTGTTATCACCAATGGGAAGGGCCTCACCTTGGCTCTACTCATTTTTTTTGTCTTGTCTTCACACATTGCATCTCAGCATGCTACTTCTCCTGGGTGGTGTCTATTCCAGGACTTCATTCTGTTTCTTACACATCTCCAGTAAGTCAGGTGTGACCATGCAGTATATTTAAGTTTTTTCCGTTGATACCTTGACATCTTCCTGATGGTTTAGGAGCCCAATGAAGCTCCATAGTGAAGTCTGTATGTGAATCTTCCAGGACCCCAGAGACTTTTGAATATTCCTCAGTCTGGATGAATCAATATTAATGGTGACGCATAAAAGTATCTCCTGCATAAAAAGATCCAATGTTTGGTTTTGGTGTAAAAACCCAAACTCTTGAGTGTTCAGCTCTGAAGTTGTAGCACTATGTGGTTGTGCCAATTTCCTAGAGAGATTAATTCATGCTGGGATTTAGAATTTACACTTGAACATTAATCTGTCATTGCAGCCTGTGACCGGTAACACAATCTGAATCCTTCTGGATTCCTCCTTCTCTAGTCCTGCACCAGGACTACATCCTCTGAGTATTTTACAACATGTAGGGAGGATCACAAAACTATCCATCAGACATGCATGATCAGATCACTTCACTGCGGTAGCAATGTCCTCACAGTGTCTTGGCCTGTGCTTTGCAAGACCGGTGTCTGATGTTTGCTTCCTTTCTAGGCTTATCAAAGCTCCTAATTAAACTGATGCAAGGAATTCATGGCTTATTCGGTCATTTCATTTCAAATCATGGCAATAATTAAGATGGTTCGTGTGCTACTAGAATTCTGAGAGATGCAGCTTATTAAACACCGTGAGCCCCTCAGGAGGAGCCCTATGTATATGCTTGAGGGTGAGGGGAAGAGCTGGTGATATCCAGTGGGTTAAGGTGCTGCTGGAGAGGATTCTGCTCCGACTGCACACAGTTACTTGTATTCCTTTGGTTGATAGCGTCTGAGCGTACTCTATGGTCAGCTTGGTACTCTCATTTGGGCACTCTGCATTTTCTTTCCATTTTAAGGGATTATAACTCAATGGCTTACTAACACTGGCTCAGAATGAGTCATGTGAACCTTTGAAGAACAAGATCTAGGTGTAGGAACTACTGAGGGTAAGTGTAAGGAAAGGAGTAGAATGTGGGGTCATTTTGTTTTGGCCACTTAATAATGAAATCACCGCAGTGTCTGACCTGAAGGGTAGGAGGGAGGCATTGGAAAGCCTAAGGGAATGCAAGAGCCTGTGTTCACTTCTTACAGTGTAGCAAGAAGCACCCTTAGGGGGTCTTGGGTTCTGAATTCGTATTCTCAGGGGGACCACAAAATCATTACATAACCCCAAGAGACCTATGACCCGTGGAGTTATTTCACAGGCACTTTCAGAGGTCTCAGCAAATCCCAGCAGACACAAAGATTGTTTAACGAGTGGATGTGTTTATTGAATGAATGGTCTGGTGCAACTTGTCACCCCAGTAGGGCTGGGAGGAGAAAAGAGGGGCAGGTCCCAGTCAGAGAAAGACTCCAGAGGGGATCAAGCCAAGACTTGCTGCCCAAATACTTTGACAGGGGCATCTCGGAAAACCCTCAGGCTTCATGGGCACCGAGACCTCACAAAGGGCAAGCGCATCCGATGCTCTGGCAGCTGCCAGATGTGGGCCGTTTCCTTTGTATGTGGTTGTTGGGCAGACCACATCGCTTCCTATCCAGATGTGGGTGAGGTCACAGTGACACAGGTCAAACAGGCTGTGACAAGGCCTTGGAGGAACAGACAGGAAGCCGTTGGGCCTGCTATTTCTGTGATGCTGTAGTTCAGAGAAAAGGAGAGAGAAAGATCTGGAGGAAACCCCCTGTGCTGCCACTAATATCCTGCTGGGAATTCAGGGGAACTGGTGAACCTCCCTGAGGCCCTGCGTCCTCTGAAGCTGGAGTGAGGATTAAATAATGCCTATGTGAAGACCTGTCTCAGAGAGCTGCACGCCCGAGCATCACTTCTGGGAAACAGGCCTCATCTGTTTCTGCATGTCATCTCCCCAAGACACCCCAAGTGAATTTGGAGATGCTATATACATCTTATTAAACAACCCAGGGCGGTACTCTAGGCATATGTCTATATACATCTTATTAAACAATCCCAGGGCTAGACTCAAGGCATATGTCTATATACATCTTATTAAACAACCCAGACTCGAAGCATATGTCTATGTACATCTTATTAAACAACCCAGGGCGGGACTCTAGGCATATGTCTATGCACATCTTATTAAACAACCCAGAGCAAGACTCAAGACATAAGTCTATGTACATCTTATTAAACAAACAACCCCAGGGCGAGACTCGAGGCCTATGTCTGGGTTACTAGATGCAGGGGTGAGACGCCTGCCGATCACTCTCTGGAAGGTATCGAGGAGACAGACACAAGGCAGGGGGCAGAGCCACAAGAAGGCAGCACATCCATCCCTGTGAGTAGTCACTGTCTCCAAAGTCCGCGGTGGTCTCACATAGCACATCTAACTGCTCTTTTTGGTGGGGATCCGTTTCTATCCTGGGCTGTATCTCTGACATTTCTGGAGTCTTGATGACAGCTTAGTCATCACTCCTTCTGCAACCATATGACTATTTGCAAAAGTCAACTAAGTTACTGTGAATGCTGAATTCACACTGCCGCCAGGCTGCGGTTCCTGTCTACCTTGGTGCCCTGTGTAATTCTTCTGGCTTGGGTCTTAAGGCTCCCTGGAGCATGAGTCCCCACTGGAGACATGGGCTGTGAGTGGCAACTGCCTGACTCAGTTGTGGTCCCATAAATACGCCCGAGGGCTATGTGTGCCAGATGCTGCCCCGAGTGAGACCCACAGCAAGGAAAACCTCTGCCCTCCCATGGACCAGAAAGACAGGAAGCTGAAGACCCACCATAAGTAAACTGTGCACTTTTTACTGCAAGGAAGAATGGAGAAGGGCCAGTGAGTTCCGGTTTTAGGAAGAGAAGTATCTGAGGGCGGCAGAGAAACGAAGGAAGCAGAGTGGGGAGGTTCCACGAGGGGAAAGCCCCAGCAAAGTCTCCCAGGCAAGGGCGCAGACGTGCTGGGCTTGGAACTGGAGAGCCATGGGTGGAGGGCTGCGTGCGGTCCGCCGGGCACGATGGAGGTGGGGGAGGCCACAGAAGGCTGTGGTTTCCTCTAGGATGCACAGCACGATGCTGATGTCAGAGCATCTCTGCTGCCCAGTGCCTGCTGGTCCTCACCCTGCTGTCTGGAGGCTCAGCCCTCCTTGCCTGATCTCACGCAGGCATTCCCACCCCAGTGCAACTCGGTGTGACACAGGGAGAGCCAGCTTGCCCGATCTCCCACTCACAGGAGGGTCCTTTGCGGACCTCCTACCTGCGTCCCCCAAGGATTTTTATCACACTCTGTGATCTCATCTCCCTTTCTTTTTTTCTTTTATTTTTTCAGATCTTTGTTTTTTAATTTATATATATATTTATTTAAATTTAAATTAGAAACAACCTTGTTTTGCATATCAATCCCAGTTCCCTCTGCATCCTCTCCTCCCCTGCCCCCTACCAACCAGAAAGGACATTGGGTGCCCACTCCACATAGAGGGATACTCTCTCAGCCTAGACACACGGGGGAGGCCTAGGCCCTGCTCCAAATGATGTGACAGACTCTGAAGATCCTCCATGGAAGGCCTCATTCCCTTTCATAGTTCCTAATGACTGGCTGGGTCTGCTGCCCTCTCCCCTGTATTTCCTTTGACATGGGCTCTTTGGCCACGAGCCGGCCATGAGATTGGACCTAACGGAGGGATTGATGTTCTGATTAACTATTAGAAAGCATCACCTGAGCAGTTAGGGGACAGCCTGGTGCTGAATGAGAAACCTCCGTGCCCCATCGTCCTGCTTGCTCTGTCAGAGAATGAAACCAGCAAAGAACCCACCCTCTGTCAATGAGAAAACCGATTCAGTTCTTATGACATTAGTTCGTTTACTGAATCTGTGCCACAGTATGTGGACGGTCAGAGGACAAAGTTGGTTCGCTTCTTCCATATGTGGGAATCCAGGTATTGAAATTAGGTTGCCAGGCTTGCTGGCAAGGACATTTACTCACTGAGTCATTACGTCAGGCCCAGAAAATGTTTTTGTTTTGTTTTTATGAAATAACGATGAAAATATCTTCAGTTTGCTTACAGAAACTGGCATAAGTCAACATTTCAGGGCATACAGCTCTGGTTGAATTGGTGAGAGTCCACTACAGTGATAGGCTGCATTCCGATTTGCTCTCTAGCACCACCGTGTGGTAATGCATGGGTGATGACTGCAGCCTTCCATTTAGCTGGCCGGGCTGGGCAATTGAGCAGCAATGTGTGCCCTGGTACAGCCTGTCAAGCAGCTCAGGGCATTGTGACACAGACTGGCTCTACGGCTGTCTGAGGTCACCCTCAGGTTTTCAGTGCTCGTAATCCCGGGGTTTGAGATGGGCCCCTGACAACTGTGTGAACAGCAAATACAGTTAAGGACTGACTTGCATAATGGCCATCCGCCCATCATTTCTTCATGTTGCTTTTTTTCACCAGTGGGTTGGATGGCACCAAGGTGTGTGTGTGTGTGTGTGTGCTATAGATGTACAGGGGCATTCCCCAGTGTGCAGGCATTGAGAGGACAGAGGGGGACACCAGACTGCAGATGTCCTGCTCAGTCACTCTCACTGATCCTGGAGTTGAGCTGGCACTCTGTCAGCCCCAGCGATCCTCTCTCTGCCTTCCGCAGCACTGAGGCTACAGGTACACACATGGCCACACCCAGATTTCTCTACCTGTGTGTCTGGGATTCAGACTTGGGGTTTTTACACTTACATAACAGTACTCTTACTCTACAGACCTCGTGTCTTTAGCTAGTTTATTTTAATCACTTAATTGGTGCCATTAAGATGTTGTTTTAGGTTGCATAATATTTAGAAATAATAACAATCATTGTCATCTGTTAAGCACAGGGAACAGGCAGAGTCTGTGGTAGGTCTTTCTCCATCTGCATTATTTATTCAAGTCTTCATGAAAACTCCATCATGTGGATGTTATTTTTCTAGAAGAGATGACAGCATTCAAGCTCGATCAGATCAAAGCCACACAGAGGATATGTGGTAACTGGCATTGAAATGCAGGTCCCATTGAGAAGAGCAGAGAGAGAGAGCAAATGTGGGAATTATCAATGCTGCTCCCACATGGCTGCGGCTGCCTTTCTTGCTGGAGAAGGGCGAGCACATGTTCAATGGTGTTGAGGGAGGTCTGTTGCGGCGCTGCAAAACTACTATTTTATTCTCAGCTCCTGCCCGGGTAAGAAAAACAGCACATCCCTTACACACACTTTTGCAGCCCCAGGAGAAAACCAGTAGCTTGGAGGGGCTGTGACATCCCGAAGCCATGGAAACATGAGTCCCAGAGAGAAACCTGGTTTAGTATCACTGTGCCCAGTTCTAAATAGACAATGTTTATTATTATTGGACGTAAACGCCTAAAACATAATGCTGATATACAAAGAACAGCCTGGCCTCCTTCCCTGAGAGATGCCTTAGGCTGAGGCTGGTCTATAATGGGGACTTAGAGACCAAGGCTTACCACTGACCACAGAACTTGGGGATCATAGCCTGCAACCCAAGCCAGTTTCAACTCCCATCCTCAGCAGCCAAATAAGGACAAATCAATGATGGAAAGCAGAAAAGGGTTTATCCAGTGAGGTGACACTGGGAAAAACAAAGAGATTCAGTGACCCCCCCCAATTCCTCATGGGTCCATCTTTTGGGTTCTGAAGTGGGACTGGAGCTTACATAGAGGGCCAAGGATATGCACTTGGAGCAGTCCTGGACAAGGTGTGGCCACACCCACCACTGACCCATTATTGTCTGGTCCAGTTACAAACACAGAGAATCTGATAAATGTGCAAAGTAAATGTTCAGCTTTCCTTGACAAGCTTTCGACTCAATACGAAGAAGAATTATTAAAGTCACAGTGCCCCACTCACCACCTGTGTCCTATTTGACTATTAAATCGTCCCTTTATCTAGAGCAAGGAACAAAAGACTGGGCTGTCCCCGAATTCCCATCCACTGGGTCCTGTTTTCTCTGATGTGCCATTCTGCTTCATACACAGTGCCACTTCATTCTCCACATGGAGGCCGAGAGAAAAGAAGGCGAACCTTTGTTCTTAAAACCAGACTGAAAGCCCGGCTCATTTAAAGCAAAGACTAGTACTTTCTGAATGCCAGCATGTAATGGCAGAAGAAGAGACTCTCTAAATGGGAGAGTGTTGAAGTCATCCTCAGACTCAGGTCAAGTTGCTCCTGTCCATCTGCAGTGAAGTTAGGAAAAGAACAAATTGTCTTTCCTTCTGCCTAGCAAGGACAGGAACAAACAGCACCGTGACAAAGCAAGTCACTAGAGGGCGCCATTGTCCATCCTTGCAGGTGCAGTCCCTGCCCAGGATGTCAGCTTATGGGCCCTGAAGACAGACAGGTGCTAGGTCCCAGAGTCCCAAGACCATAAAGCTCTGCATGGAATTTAGGACATCAGTAGGAAAATTTTCCTGCAGGCTACAGGCTTCACTACAGACACTTGGTTATCTTTAAGTGTGCAGGGTTTTATTTTGTTTTGCTTTTGTAAAGTCTCTAGAAAGTAAGTTACTGGAAGAATGCTGCAAAGGGACACGAGAGCAAAACCAATAGCTCAAGACACTGACCTTGGAAAAGATTTCATCTGCTAATCTAGGAAGGGAATATTAGCCTGTGGGAAATCAGATTTGCCCAGTTCTGCTGCAAGAATGGAGACTCGCTGATCTAGAATGATCTCTGATCCCATTCTCATCCCCCTCCCCCATCTAAACTCCAATCCAAAGACCTTACTGGACATGGACGTGAAGCGGCGGACCATAGAGGAGCACTGAGGCACGGGAGCACTTAGTAGACAGTGTGTAAATGACTAGGCAGGCCGTGCTCCTACTCCACAGCTGCAAGGGGCTCTCCGGAACCACCTCAGTCTTTTGCGGTGATCTTCAACTTCTCTGCGCCTAGGAAACAGGAAGGGATGGGCACAGTGAAGAAGAGGCATGGGCGATGTTTGATCCTGCTATAATTTTAAGGAAAGTGGCTCGAGAGAAGACGCCATGCAGCAGGGTTCACGCAGAGGGGTTTTTAGTTAGGTAAATGGATCATACACAGGGACTAGGAAAGGAGACAGATCTGCAGAGACGGTAGCAGCAGGAGAGAGGAGAGAGGGGACAGAGAGGAAGAGAGAGGGGGGAAAGGGGAACAGACAGAGGAAGAGAAAGAAACTGAGAGAGAAGGATGGGAGGTGGGCAGGGCTCTTTTAAAAGGGAGCGTGGTGAGTATGCACAGGTGGTGCTCTTAGCGGCTGCAGCTGAAGGCGTAATGGTCAGAACCCAAAGGCAGTCCAGTATGGATGTCTGAGTTCTAACCCTTCCCCCTTCCTTGCCGTGGCTACAGGTACAGCCTCATCCTTGCCGTGGCTGCTTCAGCAATATCTGGTGAATAAAGCAAGTAGGAGCTGGCCCTAATTAGGGATTATAGGTGAAGCTGAGCTATGGAAAACTGAGGATGGACTGGTTTTGAGAAGACGTTAATGGCAAGATCTGCTCAAGTGAGTCATTGTCTCCCATCAGCCGCCGTGTCTGTCCTCTGCCATAATTAGCTTAGAAAAAGAACTAGCTAGGCTTAGAGATCTTCCTGCAGAAACAGGGTGAGGGGGAAACAGACAGAAGACTCAACAGGGACTCCCTAATGGCCTTTCCATATCTAGGTTGATTGTCTGTTAAGCAAAGGAGGAACAGCTTGTACGATTCTCGGTAGCACTAGCTATAATTTGTGACAGCTATAGGTCATGTATCTATCTTTCTGTCTGACAGGGACAAGGAGCAGTTGGTGACTGGTACAAACCCAGAGCGGCTCATTCAAGCTGTGATGACCAGGACGGAGCCTTGGTTTTCCTGTGTCAGCTGTAAGGAGCCCATGTGTGTGGCTAACATTTTCACGTCTCTGCAAACGTAACTGGCGTTAGCAGCTCTCTGACTGCAGGTGGGAAAATGAAGGTTAATGACTGTGAGAACACAGGTCTGAAGTTTCTTCAAAGGCTAGAGAAAGGAAAACACGGAGGGGGGGGGTTGGAACCTTTCTCACTCTCTCCACTCTCCCTGTGGACACCTTTAATTCAATTACATGAAAGCGATATCCCAAGAGCTCTTACCGAGTGTCCAGCTTTGTGCTTGGCACTGAGGCCTGAGTGGAATGTGACATGCTGTCTGCCCCTCTGCAATCAGCTAACGACAGAAAATAGATGGTTGATTAAGGTGGGTGCTAATTACAGATCTACACACAAGGCTGCGGCATGGAGTCTACGAGTGGGATTTGCTCTCCAGCTGATGGATCAGGCACATTACAACTGAAGGAGATAATGCCTTAGTGAGGAATGGAAGTGGATTCTCAGCAAATAGGTGCAATTTCTCCCACCTGTGCACCAATTTTAACAGTACTGATGGGTAAGACGTATGCCTCACATGCCTTGAATCTCTGGAACCAGGAGGTAGGCCTGCCTGCTTGGTGGGTCTCCCCAGGAGCTGTCACACTCTCAAGGACTCTCCCAGCCTCACTGTGACATTAGGGTTTGCACGTACAACTTTATTTCACTTTACTGCTGCTGTTATTTAAGCTTGTAAGGTTTTCTATAGTTTATAACATTTCCTTTGAGTAGGAAGATAGCCTAGGAAATGTAATAAGCTAGAATGCCCTTGTCTCTGCAGGCCGGGAAAGCCAATGTCTCTGTTGGGGAAGGGGACACGGAAGAGTGTTGAGCAGCCAGGTGACGAGGTAAATGGGTGTGGATGGAGTGGATACTTAAGAAAGTCCCGGGATGTCATCTTTCTGACATATTCCAGTTCTTAGCACGCTTGTTCAGCCAGTCTTTGTTTTCCAGGAATCTTTTCTTTTTAAATATACTTATTTGGTTTGTATTTCACGTATATGAGTATTTGCCTGCATGTGTGTGCACATGTACACTCCTGCTGCTGGCAGAGGCCAGAAGAGGGCATTAGATCTCCCTAGAACTAGAGTTAAAGAAAGTTGTGAGCCACCTGATGGGTGCTGGGGACTGAACCTAGGTCCTCTATAAAAGCTGTAAGAGCTCTTAGACCCAGAGCCGTCTCTCCAACCCATGAGTATCTCCTTAACTTCGACTTACGTCTGCACAGGCCCTTCCACAGGCCCTTCCTTGGCTCCCTGTCACACCCTAACCAGCCACTCTGCAAGCTGTGCTCGCAAAGCTGCAAAGGAAGACAGGCTTGAGGAGTCTGCAGAATCACCACACACTCCAGTTAGGGGCACACACAGACAATGAGCGACATATGTAGAGAAAATAAGCCCCGTCGTCCCTGAGACACCGCATGCTCAGGGCCTCAGGTCCTAAGTAGAGGGAAGTGAGTGATAAATACATAAATACAACTAAATACAGAGGCAAAACTGCAATGGCCCATGAATAAAGTGAGCAGAAACTTTTAAGAGAAACTTTATGCAACAAATAAATATTCTGTAGCATGACGACAATTCCCTTCATGTTCCCAGACAACCTCTTGTGGTCAGTCTTATGGAACTGACTTGGACTATGGAAAAGCAAGGTTATTGAATTACATACAACCGTCACGCGGAGCCTCAAGACTGCGGGAAAACCACCAACAAGAGTCACCTCTAAAGCCTTGATCTCCGGATTAGTGCCATCAACCAAGCACTGAAATCTTTTCAATTTGATTTAGGCCATTTTCCCTACTTGGGTTTATTATGTCCATCGATGTGGAAATGAGACCCAAACTCCGGAGAGCAATCGGGAAGATGTCTCCTGTGTCTCCAGCTCTCTGTCCCTGTCATTCTGGGTTCTGCTTAGCGGTCAGCACATATCAGGAGGCTTGCTGCACACTGGATGATGATATGCAACAGATTTGAAGGTAAACCACCACTCACGAGGCCTTCACACAGGAGGGCCATGTGGACTCAGGGCTGGTGGTGTGTCAGACAAACAGGAACACTGAGCAAGAGCTTGCAAGTGTTAGCCTTAGCAGAGGAGACACCGTGGATGTGACCAAACCTTTTCCTTGCGAAATGAATTCAATCTGCGACCTGCTTTTCACAACCACCGTGAACTCAGTATCTGATGAGTTACAACTTATGTGGGAGGAGGGAGGATGAAAACAGTGAGCTGCACCCACAGTCGGGGTCCGTGAACTGCACCCACAGTCGGGGTCCGTGAACTGCACCCACAGTAGGGGTCCGTGAACTGCACCCACAGTCGGGGTCTGTGAACTGCACCCACAGTCGGGGTCTGTGAACTGCACCCACAGTCGGGGTCCGTGAACTGCACCCACAGTAGGGGTCTGTGAACTGCACCCACAGTAGGGGTCTGTGAACTGCACCCACAGTCAGGGTCTGTGAACTGCACCCACAGTCAGGGTCTGTGAACTGCACCCACAGTCGGGGTCTGTGAACTGCACCCACAGTCGGGGTCTGTGAACTGCACCCACAATCAGGGTCTGTGAACTGCACCCACAGTCGGGGTCCGTGAACTGCACCCACAGTAGGGGTCCGTGAACTGCACCCACAGTCGGGGTCTGTGAACTGCACCCACAGTCAGGGTCCGTGAACTGCACCCACAGTAGGGGTCTGTGAACTGCACCCACAGTAGGGGTCTATGAACTGCACCCACAGTCAGGGTCTGTGAACTGCACCCACAGTCAGGGTCTGTGAACTGCACCCACAGTCAGGGTCTGTGAACTGCACCCACAGTCGGGGTCCATCAACTGCACCCACAGTAGGGGTCCGTGAACTGCACCCACAGTTGGAGTCTGGCAATGTTGGCCTGGAAGCAGGAGCTAAAGGTAAACACTCTAGTGTAGCCATGGAAGCTGGGGGCCAGAGTGAGACGTCCTTACACAGCCATAGAAGGAGTGGGTGATTTTAAATTCAAACCATCTCCAGTCTTGAGGGCTCTGGCAGCAGAACACTCCATGGAGGGGACCAGAGGTCACTCTGCGGCAGGGAGGGGCCTCTCGGCCAGTCCTCCCCATCAGTCTTAGGCTGTGTGAGCTCATCCCTGAGGCATGACTAGGGGATCAGTTTCTAGCAGGGATAGTATGGACCCCATACATTTTGACATAAGAAACTCGTGTATGTTTTGGGCACCACAGCCCTCTCTCTAGGAGACCCCAAGACGTTCTAATGTCAAAACATTTTTAGTGTTCTGTCTACTTCCATACACATTTTTAGTCTACTTCTTCATGTATTGAACCATGGACATAACTGAAGCCTCAAGACACCAACTTCCATGATCGACATTTTGGGAAAGGTTTTGTATTGATGCCATCATAACTATCCTAGGTAAGGAGGGGAAATGCAGGACATGTAGAGGGGTGCCTGGTATAGGACTGGAGGTTAGTTCAGTTGTTGGAGCGCTTACCCGGCATGCAAAAGGTCCTAGGTTCTGTCCACCGCACTCAGGAAGTAGACACAGGAAGGCCAGAAGACAAAGGTTATCCCTGGCTCACAGGGAGCTAGAGGCCAGCCTGAACTGGAAACAAAACGTGATCTCGATGGTACGGGACCCTCAGTGGCTACCACGCTCAGTGCCGGCTGGGTGGGTCAAGTGAAGTTTGACTTTTGTGTATGTGCTTCGTAGCATCACACAGGATAAACACACGTGCCTTCACCTGCCAATTGTAAATAAATAAATGGAACTGAGAAAACAAACCCCGATTATGTCTTACTTAAAAGTGAGAGGTTTTTTTTTTTTTTTTTACTAAAACAGGTATCTAACTGTAGCTCACACAGAAAGTAGTTAGCACTGTGGGACTCTCATTTACAGGTATTTCCATCCAGCCCCAAACATCTCTTCCTGTTAAATCGCAAAGCCAAGGGGACCAGGGCAGTGATCTTAAAACCTTGTTAAGACCACACAGACCGGTCTGGGGTAGGCTGTATTTGGGAACAGGCCTTCCAACTCCCTCATGGGTCATTTCCAACACTATTAAGATTGAAACTAATGGGAGGGAGGGACACAGTTTTGTGCACAGAGAGACCACACAGAACCATGGTCTGAGAGCTACCCTTTGCTTTCCTGGTTGCCAGTTGATTTTGAAGCTGATTTTGGGTGGGAACCCTGATGGTAGAGTCTATTCTTGCAGGCTTATTGTCCTGTGGGTGAGAAGAGCCTCAGGAGATAGAATTCTACATCTAAAGATTCAGGGAGAGCAGGAGAAGGAGAACTCATTTCTTGAAGTTATTTACTAGAGAGCTGGATATAAATTCCAGGAAAACCAGGACTTGTAGGGTATGGAGATACGTGGTTAGTATCTCAACACTCAGAAGGCTGAAGCAAAAGTTCAAGGGTAGCCTGAGTTCATACAGAGTTCCAGGTCAGCTTGGAATACAGAAGGAGGAGGAGACTCTGTCAGAAAGAGAGGGAGAAGAACTGGGGAGAGAACAGGATGGGAGGGGACAGGGGGAGAGGGGAGGAGAGCAGACCAGACCAAGTCCTTAATGGCATTTATAGAATATTCCCCAGTGTTAGTTTGGAATCACCAACAGCAGAAACCAAAGTGAGTTTTCATGTACAAGAAATGTATTGGGGGGCCATCTGTAAGGATGAAAGAGAGGGGAATAAGATGGTTGATAGAGATAGGATCCTGTGGGAGCTGTGAGGGGACTCATGGCCGTAACCCACCATGCACTTCTTTCTATCTGTACCACCTTATGTGAGCCCATAGAGAACATTGGAGGACCAGTCAGGAAGCTAGCTGGGCATAGACAAAGGGTGATGGTGACCTTGGCTAAGGCAGTGGTTGGCAGCTTAGAAAGACGCACATGCTCCAAAGTGTTGAACAGAATCATCTGAATGGAAGGGAGGGAGGGAGGGAGGGAGGGGGGGTCTCTCTCCTTTGTCTTCAAGGATTCTGTACCAGGCCCGACCCCTATTAGCAGATATTTTGTGAACTGTTTCATCATGGAGTGATCCTGAAGAAATATGTGTGTACTTCCCGAGTGTTGCTATTTAGAAAATAAAGGTTACATAACTTATATAGGTGGAGAAATTCCTCAGGGAATGAAGAAATTTTAATAAACTGTGATCTTTATTTTCATCAAAATGGGATATAGCAGTTTATCACCAGAGTTTTCAGAATTCACATAGTATGGGTGACACAGGAGTGGACATTTTCCTTAGGAAAAAAAGCCATTAAGTCAAACTTTTGACCCTAGACTCAAGGACTGCAGAGACTACCCAATTTGCTCATGTTTGATAAAAGCATATGCTCATGTGAATGAATGTGAAATGAATTCTAGGATCATAAGAGCATATTTGAAAATAATGTCATCCCTTAAGCACATTAGAAATCTGGTGGACTGGGATTCTACAAGAATACCATACATCTGAAACTGTAGTCACACTTCCTAAATATTCAAAATGTTCTACTTATTTATTCTTTGTCATGGAAGCCTCCTCTGACTGACCCAGCTGGTCTCTTGACCCACTCTGGGAGTCTGTTGTAACACTTACACATTGCACAAAAATGACTGGGCTTCTGCCCAGACTCCCCCTCTCTGGGTTTGTACTTCCTCTGGGTAGCTTCCATGTCCTTTATTTTATGTCTGCATCGACGATACCTGGCACACACTAACGTTTTAAAAAAATATTTAAGGAGTGGAAATATATACTCAATGTTAGAGAAAAACATGCTCTTAAATTATAAGAACAACATGGTCCCCTGTATAAGGATCACATTGGTTGTGGATGGGGAAAACTATACATGGCCCCATCCCTAGATGAAGAGTTTCTGAACCAATGGTTATGGCAGGATGGACAAACACCATTAGGTTATCTGATCCTAAGTGATTAACCCTAAACATGTACATACACACACACACACACACACACACACACACACACACACACTAAAATAAGTATAAGAGGCCATGAATTCAAGAATGGATAAGAGAGGACATGAGAGGAGTTAGGAGTATAAATGACGTAAATGCATTGTACTTGTGTCCAAAATTCTAAAAACAAATCAAACTGACATGTAGTTGAAATAAGCCTTGTTTTATATTCTTTTGGGTGCAATTGACTTAAGACATTTTCTCATGGTTAACAACCATGGTTTTAAATTCATTATTTCTCAGTTCCACCACTGGTAACATTTAGGGTCTATAGTTACTAGCCTGGGGCCTTTTGAGTGCACTGTACATTGTTTAGAAGAATCCTAGTGTCTACCTGCTGACTCCTGGGAAAATCCCCTTTATTGTCGCAACAAAAATACACTTAGACACTGCCAAAGTGTCCTTGAAAGTGTGAAAAATCTTCCTTTATTTAGAACTACCCTCAGATGTGGCCAGAGGATGTGTAGAGAGGGATAGGAGGGTGAGATGAAATCTTGGCCTATGACAAATTAGTTGGTGGGAAATGATATGATTTAGTATTAGAAAGCCAAGCCCCAATTCCGCATATATCACGATAGTATAGAGCCTGTTATAAACATTGATGGGAGGAATTTCAAACTGTAAACTTGTCAGCATTGTTGACATGTTTCTTAGCACGTACTAGGACATTGTTCAATTTGGTGCTGGTGATGGATGACTTTGGGAAGATGTATCATTTAGCAGAACTAGCTGGTGACATGAGACACAGGGGATTTGCTTCAGCATGTCAGGCTGATTTTTTGTTATATCTCATGCTTCATTTTCCTGGGTCCATGCTTGGCCTCACTTGACTCCAGATGTAGCTATAACCCACGTATGTACTTGGCTGCTCTTCTTTCTGTGACCTGATACCTAATGTATCAGGTTTGATCAAGAATGGCCTCCATAGGCTCACATATATTAACACTTGGTCCCTAGTTGGTGGAACTGTATGGGAAGGATTAGGAGGTGTGGCTTTGTTGGAGGAGGTGTGTCACTAGGAGTGGGCTTTGGGGTTTCCAGAGCCCCACCAGTCCCAATTAGCTCTGTCTCATCTGTCTCTCTGTCTCTATCTCTGTCTCTGTCCCTCTCTTTCTATGTCTCTGTCTCTGTGTTAACCTGCCTT